TTTTTGAGGGGGGGCTTTTTTTTTTTTTTTTTTTTTTAATATATATATATATTTTTGCTGCAGACTTGAGAACACGGTCATGACAAAAATTTAACTTTTTGCTTTTGCATAGGTTGGTTTGCAGTTATGCAAATTTGAGGGGAAAAAAAAATCCAGTTCAAAAAAGGTGGTTATAGTTCAGATATTTCTGCACATAATGCAAGCATATTCTCTTCTGCTTTTTTTTTCTTCCTGAATGAAGCACCAGAGCTAGGAAGCATCAAAAATGAGGCAACCTGAATTTGATGTATGTGCATTCCTCTTAGGTATAAGTTATCACAGAGTTTTCAAAATCTTTCAAGGGGAAGAGAAAAAGTTGATTAAGGATTTGAGTTTCTCTCCTTGGGATAGGCAGTGTTCTCTGAATAAATGGCTAGTCAGTATTCCTGTAAAATAGGAAAAGCAACTTCAGAGCAAAAGAGGAATTGGTAGATGGGAATATAACCTTTTTGACACTAGTTTATAAGCATTTAATAGGAAACTAGTAGAAGAAATTGGATCTAGAATAAATTGCTCTGCACTTTCTAACTACCTCTTCGAAGGGTAGGGAGGATTCTGAGATCATGATTTGGTAGTGAACTTCTGTACCTAAAGTATTCCCAGTGTTGCTTGTATATGTGATACAGTGCTGGCCTGGATCAATACTTTTGGTAATAAATTGGAAAACTTCTAGGTGGCATCTAGCCAGGAAGAGCTGCAGTAACTTTGGAGGATAGTTTTAGACACTGGAATGGCTTTGATTAAATTAGAGATGTCATTAGGAATGAAGCAAGATCATATTCAAAATAAATACCCATGGGAACTGCTGTGCTTAGGAAAAGAAAAAATGAAATGCAAAATAGAGACAGCAAATCTGAGGAGTGACATATGGAAGACTGTGAGCCAACTTTTAGGACAAGGACCCTTCTTTGTTAGAGGCTTAAAAGCTCAGATAAATGTATCCTGATCCTTTGTCAGCTACATGACTCGATCAGGAAGAAGGATTCTGTGCTTGAGTCTCTCCTTAAGCCTATGCTTTTATGAAAAAGGAGGAACAAAAATAAGTATGTAGACAAATTATTTTAATGCTCAAGAGGAAATTACTTTTCCTAATATGCATTTCTGTGGCACTTACTGTGGTTGGCTATAAGGTAGGTACCATTTTTAGCCTCAGTGCAGCTGAGATGCTAGTTTCCTTGTGATTCTCTGACTAAGATACAGAGAGATAAAGTAAATAGGGCACCTAAAACTAATGCACATATTTTGAGAGTCAGTAGCTGCTTTTTGGAGGGTGTCGGGGGAGTTATTTTTTTTGTCTTTTTCTGTTTAGAATTACATGTGGTATGTTCAAACTACAATTCCGTTATCCTAGTTTATGATGATGGACACTGCAGTTGGACCTACAGAAAACAAGCAACATTTTAAGTTGCTTCCAGTAACTGTGGGGAGGAGCAAAGCTGTTAAGTGACCCCATCCCTTTCCAGCATTATTTTGAAACTCTGGTAGTTTCCATTCTCTGTAATACCAGTTGTCATTATGTGACCTAAATTTGACAGATGTTCTGTGAAATAAAGAGTAGCTACACTTATAATGGAAGGTAATACCATAATGCAAAAGGGAAATGACTCAAGATGGCCTTTTTTCATGGCTCAGCAAATAGGAATAGAGGTTGTCTATGTAAAGAATTTTTTATCTGAATAGAGTGTGAATAGAACAGTCGATGCAGCATGTGCACTAGGAAGTTGGCGAGGATGTTGACCAATCAAAAATTATGCTAATGTGATGCTTTTTACGCACAGATCAATGCAGGCGTGTTACTAAAGTCTGAAAAGAAGTTATTTGGAATTGCATTATGGATTGCTTTTCTGTCATCCAAGAAACACTATTTCTGTCTTTTAACCTGTGAACCTGTGTAAGGTGGCCTAAAATGGCCACAAACATTGTAGCAATAAGTACATATACTTGCTGCTTTGAGCTTTTGTTTCTTTCCATTTTTTTTTCTCTAGGAAGCCATGCTTTATTCTTGAATTTTATATAAAAATTTCATCTACTTAATGTTTCTGGAAAAATCTGTACCTAAACTGACTTTTTTGTTTTGTAGGTATTTCGATGATATTGATGATGAGATGGATCCTGAAATTGAAGAAGCATATGAAAAATTCTGCCTAGAATCAGAACATAAGAGAAAACAGTGAGGTGCTATGCATACATGTTAGTTTATTAAAGCAGCTGAGGTATGATTAGAATACAGGGGAACACAGAATTGTAACATTTGTACCAAAATAAAGAAACTGAATTTCTTCAAGTACTAATGTTATACGCAATTTTCATTTTGTTAAAACAGAATCTGCCAAAAATTGTAAACTTATGCCCTGTAACTTAAAATGTTGTGTATATATCATTGTTCATTTACCTGTACATAAAATAAACTATGTTTTGGCTGCAATAAAAACAATTTAAAAAGTATTACAATGAAAATAAAATTTAACTGGGAATTGTCCCATTAAATTTCTCTTGGGTGAGAAAGGGGATAAATAACTTGATCTAAATTTAATTGCTTGCTTGTTTTAGTATAAGTTAGGACTTATTCATCCTTTTCTTCATATGTAAGATAACTGGGTTTTGGCATGGTTTTGTTTGTTCTTGTTTGGTTGGTTGCTCTTTTGTTGTTTGGGTTTTGTTTTTGGGGGGCTGTTTTTTTGGTTTGTTTGTTTGTTTGTGCTAAGCAGTGTATTAGCTGAATATGGATTATCTTTCTTGTACATCACAATCATGACAAGTGGTTTGTTAAGATTTTTTTTTTTTTTCCCGTCCCTCCTCCCCTTTGCAAAAGACACATGGGTGAGGTCTGGACTACTACTTTTTTTCCTGGAATAAACATTTAATATATTGATATTGTGAAGAAGCAAGCAGTATTTTGGAAGTCAGATGCTTACAAGACCTTTGGTTCAGCTATTTTCAACTTTTACAAGCAAAAACAGTCCTTTAAATAGTTTGCTGTGTTCTTCAAGGCTACATGAATATAGTTATGTTTTAACCATGCTCCTCATGAGTATGTGCAGTTCTTAACATATTTTTGAATGTACCTAACATGTCTAACTTTCTGGCAACCTTTGTAATATTCTTCATTTGTCTAATTATTTTGTATAATTTGTCATAATTTTGTAGTTTGTGTACCTCATTCATTTGTTTATAGATGTTAACATTCTGAAGCCAACTGACCCAAAGTAATCATGTTAGTCTTCCTTGGAGACTGATCTCAATTGTAGCATTTCCTGTCATTTGTTATAGGTTAGACTAAGTAGAACCCCTTTACAAAAGCAAATGGACAAATTTTCCCAAAAGTAGCAACTGTAAAGAACACGTTGTAAATATGCATGTAAATAATTCTGTGAATATTTCACTGTAATATGTTTGGTGAAATAACTTGTGCATCTGCTAATACAGTGAGCACTGACTGTTTTCTGGATGTTTATTTAAAATATTCATTTAGGTCTGAGTTTTGGAAAATAAAAATTAACTAGCTTTGTTTCCTTTGGTATATTTTCACTGTATTTTGTCTTTTTGTTTAAAAGGAATAATGTTCAATTTTGTTCCTTTTCTCTCCTTTCATTTTTCCCTTTCCCTAACATAACTCATTGTTTATTTTTATTTTTAATTACACAGTTGCATAGATTGTCTTTTAATACAGATTAGAAAAAAATCATAAAAGGACAACATAGTCATAAGTGCCATATAAACATTTCAAAGTCACTAGACAAAAATCCAGAAACTACATAACCATAAATCAAATGGCATGATTTTCAGGTAAAGGTACTTCATAAACACATTCTCTCATATTTAGTTGAGAAATACGTTTTTTTAGAAAAAGATTAATCCAATTGGAGGTTAGATTTCTTGGTAACTTTACAAGCAGATGCTTTGTGGAAAAATATATCACAAAAAATAATGTGACCAAGAAACAAGGATTAAAGTATGCATTATAGTGAGATAATAGTGCTTTCAAGAGATTTTACATTGTGTTCAGCATTGTGTATTTTGTACAGTTTTTTTTTTTTGTGAAAAGTAGCTGTCTGAATCTAGGTGAGTACATCCTGTCTAAAAGTATGTATTAGATGTAAATATAAAGTGACTTGCAGTATACCTTATTTATAAAAGGTACAATTCCCTTATTGGGAATTGTATATTTAAAGGAGTTTAGATCGAGGTTTGCAATTTTTTTTTTCTCCTGAAGAAATTAAGTTCATAAAGTGAGGCTTGAGTTCAAGATAGTGAAGAGGTTTAATTTGTCTGTGGAGGTTTGTAAGACCTTTAAGCCTGTTTTGCACTAGGAAAAAAAATGGCAGGGCGTCTGTAAAGAAGACAGAATAATCTTTGCCTTAAATATCTAGCAGTCTTTACTGCTTGTCTTAAATCTCACAGGAATCTATTACAAATTAGTGATGATGAAATGAGATGTGAGAGAGCAGAAGAAAGAAGCAGGCCTTGCACTGTAACTGTCACCGCTCGCTGCTTGTCTGCTTTTAACAGGCAGTAGTTCTTCTGTGTATCATAGAGGTGAGTCTTGAGGGGTTTAAAGATAATTTTACCTACTACTTCAGTATTTACAAATTTTAAGTGCACCGTGTAAACATCTTTTTCATCATCATCAAAAAAAAGTTGTTTTCTTGCAGCTTAAAAGGACAAGGCGCAGAAGCATGGAACTAACAATTTGGAGGAGAGGAGAAGCTGTCAGGTCTGAAAAGAAACATAATTACATGTAGGGAATCTAACATGGAGTATGTAGTTTTAACTACACTCATCGTGTAAGTCTTGCACAATGTTTGCAACTTTTAGAAATTGATTAAGCAAAAGTGTTTAGTATTTGAAAATCACAGTTTTTCTCCTAAGAGCTTCTTGCTACTGGACTAAATCTCTCATTTTAGAAAGGGAAATACAAATGCTAGGTTTTGAATGTCAGGTTTAAACGTAACTGTAGTACTACACAAGCTCCATCAGGTATCCCTATTTTTTAAGCCATAAATCCATTATGGTACTGGTTTTCAATGACATTGGCTCTGGTTTGTATAACAAATTCTCGCTCTCCCCCCCCCCCCCCCCCCTTGTGGCCTCATGATAGTCTGCCATTCTCCTTCCTACTGCACACAACTCATTTATTCTACTAGTGATAGCTTGTTTGCAGCTTTTCTTCTCCTTGAATCAATTACAATTTTAATTATCTAGTTTATTCTTGTAGATCCTACTAGTTGGTACAGATCAAAAAAAGTGTCACTCCAGAAGTTACAGCCAAATGTTAAGAAATTTGCATGATTGCACTTAATGAATTACTTATTTACTGTATTTGCCACCTTACTCGAACACAGAGATAAAATAGGTGATGTGTGCTTGAGGGAGGTGTCCAGCCTCTGCACTTCTGAAGCTTAGGGTTGTAACCTTAGCAGTGAAGTTGCTAGCAATAACAGTGCATCTTCCATTACTTCATCAGTAAACAAGAAAGCAAAATTAATAAAGCAGAAAAGCAACATCATTCCTAATTTTTAATGGATGAAAAAACAAATACTTTCATGCTCAGGCAGAATAAGAATTTGCATGTTCTGAATCCTGCTTTAGCCCTATAAATTTTTAGACTTGTGCCTGTTTAAGACCAAGTATCTTTACAGTGCTAGGTTTTCCTTCAGTAAAAATGCTATAAACAGGATTTATAATCCAAAAAAAGTGCTTTGAAACTTGCTTCAGACAATTATGCTGCAGAATGATAACCATTAAAAGGGGAATTAGAAATTGAACATTATTGTTTTGATGCATATTTGTGCCTGCAGCTGCTTTACTAGATTGTTGATCTACCATCTACAACTGCTTTATCAGCAAATTAGAAAACAGAAATTTGTACCAAATTCACCTCTTCAGCAATTCTATGCTGATCTAAGAAACCCCTGTTTCCATAGGTAATGAATGACTTATTTTTTTTTAAGGCTAGATAAGACTATATGAGTATCTGGTTATGACTGATCTGGTGTGGCTGTATATCACAGGATCTTGAATTACATCTGCTTAGTGCTTTACATGGGGGTTAACTAACAATTTAAAACAACTTTGCAGCATAAATAGGGGAGGGGTACAAATATATTTTCCCCCAAAGGCTTTGAGGGTTAATTTTTTTAATTAGGTTTTGGAAAAACAATTCTTCACTCAGCAGGGACCTTGTGTATGTGGCTATTTGTTGGATTTTTCTATGGTATGAATGTATATGCAAAGAAGCACAAGCAAATTATTTATCTGTAGTCTATCACCCTTGGGATATGTACCTCTGCAAGCTGGTTTCTTAATCCTGTCCCTCAAGCCTCTTCATGCTTTTCTGGAGATGGTGGTAGAGGAGGAAATGTAAATCTTTCCAGGCAGCTGCTTGCCTGTCTGGGGAGGGAATGTGCGTAGACTGATGCAAAGGTTCTCCATGGGGCTGTACTGGATGTAAATACATACACTGAAATGCAGCTGCAAGATGCATGGCCATAGGTGAGTGGTTCTTCTGCACAGTCTAAGCCTCACTGCTAACTTTCCTCCCAGGCTTTTGGCCTGAAAATTACCTCCTGATTATTCTAAGGCTGCTGCTTCTCATTTTATTAATAATGAAGAATAAGCCATTTCAATTAAAAATGCCACACACAGAGAACTGCAGCCACAAGCAGCAGGCCAGGAGCCCCTGCACCACACCCCAGCTGCAGGTAGGAGAAAAAAGAATGTGTGTGTGTGTGTGTAGTGATTAAGTTTAATTGTCTGGGGGAAAAGCAGCTGTGTGTTTCCTTGGGCCTGCGCATCTCCCTCCAGCCCCGCTCAGTGCTAGGGGGACGTGGGACGAAGCTGCCGCCGCGCGGGGGCGCC